GCTTACATATTGAACATATTTCTTGATCAATGCAATTTTCACAATACCAACCATGACCGCATGGTATCATTATGTAACTCTTTGACTGATCATCATCATCATCTACTACTTGATAGCGGCACCTTACACAACGCACTTCACGTTCATCTAAGATACATCTTGCCTGCAACGGCTCATATTCTAAATACAAATATTGAAAATTAGTTCCTTTCCTAGTAAAATAGTTTAAAGGAGTTTATGATTAAATTTTAAAGGGAATATTTTTTGCACATCAATCATCGTATTAAGAAAACTAAAAGAGTTTTAAAAATAAGTTTTTAACTATAATAACTATTATATTTAAAAAACTAATAAGACGTTATTTTAAAATATAAATATGTATTACATTATTTATTTATTTTTCACATAAAAATGTAATTTTATCACATCAGATTATATAGAGAATAGAAATAATTTTTTTTTGGATGTAATTTTGAACTGCTCTACTGAATATTTAAAATATATTGGAATGGAAAATTATATAAAATGGGAAGAAATCGACTTCATACCTTAAGGTATGTTAACAAAATATTTTTATAACCGGCCACCTTAAATAGCCTTTTTTAAACTCTTTTCTTACAAAAGATGTTAATACTTCCAAGATAATATTAGGAAAAGTACAGCTATTCAACAATTCAAATTCATAAAATGTTATATTTATATCAGTGATATATAGTTTTATATATATTTTGAGCATAAAACTAAGAAGGCAATATTTGTTATAAGAAAAAATTGTTAAATGAAATAGTCATTAAATTTGTCATATTAACATGTATTAACATTTTGAAGAGTGTCTACGTCCTCAAATGTGATATTATTTAGATCAACACAAATCGATTGGTTGATTGTTTGAATAAAAAAAAGTATTAACTTCCATTTATTGAGTAACATATTATTATTTTAAAAGAATATTTAACAATCTTTAAATTTCACAATATTTTATCAATTAAAATTAAACAGTTTTGAAATAAACTATATACTAACTAAAAAAATTTGAATTAAAGGAATAACTCTTACAAGAGTATTTTAAATACATGATCAAAAATAAACTTTTATTGTGTACTTTAATAATATATGAACAATTGTAATTTATAATATAATTCATTTATCATTTATATATTCAAAAATACAAATATTTTTTAATGGATGATTCATGGGAAAAAGTAAATGATCATTATATTTAAAATAATATACTATTTTACTTATGTATCTAATTTAAACAGTTTATTTTGTCTTAACTGATTTGATACCAATCTAATTTAAAATCTAATAAAATTTGTAATTAATTAAAAAATAAATTTTTTGATTACGTATTTTGAAATATTTATTATAAACTATATTTTGACATATAAAAAACTGTTTGTGTATTATATGAATTATATCGGTACGACATTGATTAGTAGATAAATTTATAATTTAAACATAGAAAGTGCGGCGAGTTGACAATTAAGTTTAGCAGGAGATGACTCCCTTTTAATTAGGTTATACATATTTAGTTATTTTTTAGCATTACTTGAATTAAACAATATAATTCTAATATTCCCGTTAAAAAGGTATTAGAAATTGACTTTTTTAAATGAATTAATAATCAGTTTTAAATAATGAACATTTTATCAATTATTTTAAATATATCAAGTTTTCTAACAAAATTTTATGGCGAATATTTTCTTTAAGAGATTTAATTATAGCTTAAGGATGACAACTTGCCCTTGTCTCCTCTGAATATGTGCAAATAATAAATAACACAATTTATGCATTGACGCAAACTCACATGTATTTATTTAAGAATTNGAATATGTGCAAATAATAAATAACACAATTTATGCATTGACGCAAACTCACATGTATTTATTTAAGAATTTACAGTAAATTCGATTAGTATAGTAAATTTAGATTTCAAACTATTATTCATATAATTTATATTTTAGGAAAGCTTTACAAGTAATAATTTTAATTGTTTTAAATAACCTTTGTCAAAAATATTTTTTAGAACGATTCCATATTAAAAATACATTAAATATAGAAAAGAAGTTTAAGTATTAATTTTTTTCATTATTTATAATGTAATATTAGCAAACATATTAATTAATTAGTTAATATGTAAATTGTTATAGCTATTAAATCCTTTTATTTATTATATTTTATTTATAATAATTTTGCCTTTTAAAATGAATTCCGTCAAAAAAAAAATGTTTATATTATTTAATGGTATACTAAAAATGTATTTATTAATTAGGCAGTCTGAGAAAACTTGTTTTAAACTTGGATTAATAATTTCACATTTTTAAAAGTCATAATTATATAAAAATTGGAATATTTTTATAATATTGATTTCCAGAACAATGTCGGATTCAACACGAAGCTGACAGTGATTCAAATTACTGTCATTTCATTTTGAACCTGTCTTGTGATATATAATCAATGATTTTCAAATTTTCAAAATAAGGGACACCCTAATAATCATGTCTTCTTTTTAAAAACCATATAGATGGTTAGAGTCAACTCGTGTCTCTACCCAGAGTATGATGGCTTTTTATGATCCCTCTACTTAAGTCCTAAAATAAACACGTATCAATAATAGAACTCTTCCTGCTACTTCGTACAAACATTATTGATTTATTAAATTTATTTGGTATATTTTTTATTATTGATGATCATTTATATTTTTCTTTGTGCCTACTTAATCTATGNGGTATATTTTTTATTATTGATGATCATTTCTATTTTTCTTTGTGCCTACTTAATCTATGTACAGATAAAATTTAATTCTTTACATTATATATTTTTTTTAATTGTTATATTTCTACCTTGATATTTCTAATAAATATTCTGAAATAAATAGACGTTCCTTTTCCTTATGAAACTATAATATGGACGCGGCGGATCACATTTTGCGCGTATCTCGATAAATTTAAGGTTAACAAAATGTGAATTGACTGATCGTAATTGAATGTACTGAGAACATCTTGGAATAACAGACCGTATCTAAGTGCGACTAATCGATTGAGAACTTTTTAACCACTATCAGAGTGACATTTGAGCCGCAGTTCTCATTATTTTGAGCTTTTTATATTAAGTTTGATGGTATTGTCAAAGGCAAGAAATGATCACTGACGATATCATTATTTTTTATTAATCGTAATTTATTACATGTTATTTATTTAATTAATGATCTTCATTTTATGATGTTTTATCATTTCTTACATAATATCTTACACATTTTTTATTACTCTATATCTTATGTGCTACCATTACATATTGTTTATTATTTCCTGTTTGTTTTATATATAACTATTTTATACAAAATTTCATTAGTTTCTGGGCACCGATCAAGTATAGAGCCATTTGCGTACTAACGTTTGACGTGACCTAAGTTGTTGCACGTTATTGTAGCCGATGAGCCAGTGTGGCCCTTATGCAAAGGCGATCCTTGGCTTATAGTGGAATGCCTCAACTTGATGCCCTGAAATACATTTTATAAGAATTTAAAAAATATAAGTTTTATGTTACTAGCATAACTAGATACTGAAAAAAATTGCTGTTAAAAGTGAAAAATGCGAAAAGTTTAATATTTTGATATTATCACAATATTTTTTATAGAAATTATCTCTAATTCTAAAATTAAATACATTTTAAAATAAATATATGGCACAATCCTATATAGTTTTTAATGATGAAAAAAATGGTTTAATTATATTTCATATATTATCATTATTTGTTCTATTATAAGGTATATAACCTAATTAATATATAATATATACTAGTTTATTTACATTCATTGTTAAATAACTAGTATAAAATTTATAAACGAGTCTTTTTGTTAAGGGTAGATTTTAAGGATAAATTTCGAAAATTAAGTTGGAACCTATTACTATTCTTTTACTTTTAAATGGGGAATAGTTTAAATAAAATTTAACAGGCCGATAACCAGTACTGTACTAATACTTCTTTGAGTTGTCATAATTATTAGTTATTGGCGGCGAGCAGAGTGCGCAGCGTAGAATTCTTAGTCATAGTAATAATAGAGCGTCTTTAAATTCTATCCAACACCTCACCATTTTTAAATCTTTAAATGCTAATATATCATAAAGCATTCATGCAAAAATTAAATTTTTATTATTAACCGTAACCCAAAAAATTATTTCGGTACCTAGCCCGGATAGAAATAGTACTATATATCGAAATCTGATGCTGCCAAAATTAACAGAAGAAATATGTTTGCTTATAAAAATGTAGTAAGTTTAATGGGTAGTAAGAAGAGTAAAACAATGACTATTTGAACAATTTTTTTTACTGTAATTTAATTTATTTTATACAATAAAAAATACAAAGTTATTATATTATGTTTTATTTTTATTTGACAAAAATTAAATATATATATATATTGTAGACCAATTTATAGCTATAAATATATATATATTTTTGTTGCTTTTCCAGGCGTATAAGAGGCCCATAGAGACCTCCACAAAGGCGAGGTTTTTCTTTACCACTGATACAGAGAGGTGGGTAGTTAGTCTGTCGTCGGAGAAAGGAATATAGACTCCAATAACCAAACTAATCTCTCGCTCAACAAATAAAGATATTAAAAAGACATGTAATAAAATTCGCATAAAACGAGGATGGATTATAGACTATTCTCGTTCAACCAAACCCGACCCACTGGTAACACCTCGACTAGTTTTAGTTCGAGCTGTATTCAATTTATGATTTTATTGTTGTCCTTATTTCGTAATATCAATTTCAAGGTCATGGTTCCATTTGTGTTTAAGTCTATCTTGTTAATGTAAAATATTAAATTATTGAAGCTGTAACATTATGAACAGTCAACATAATACATTGTCAGTGTAATATCCAGTGGCAGCAACAATGATTATTTTTATAATTTGATGAAGTTTTCATAATGATTTATTTTAAATATCAATATTTAAAAAATTAATGTTGTTCAAATAAGGAAACACATATAAAGAACAAAAATAGTTATAATTGAATCAAAATAATATTACTAAAAAAAAATAAAACTTTAACAGATTTCAAATATACTTATATAAATCATATATATTATGTTTACATTTATTTACAAATTTACACACATTACATCAATAATCGTCTCGTTACATGCTAAACATCCGTTTTGTGAAATGCAATTATTGCAGTACCAACCATGACCACATGGTATCTTTATGTATTTTTTTGAAGGTTGCACATCTTTTATTTGTTTGAAACAGCTTATACAACGTGCTTCTCGTTGATCAAAAACACATCTTGGCATTAAATACCTATAAGCTAATTGCAAATAATGGAAATTATTTGGTTTCTAGCACAAAACTTAACAGTAGTGAGCAACTACTTTATTTTTTATTTAAGCATATTAAGTACTGTAGGAAAAAAAACTGTACTCATTAATGCAGAATTAATTTAATTAATATATAAAGTATTCCTCATTTACTCGGCTAATATATAAATAATATAAATCATGTATATAACATTTTAATTGATAACAATTTGTAAATCTGTGGCTTATATCCAAAAGTTTAATGTCACTAAAATAATGATGAAATTTTGCTGTTATTTNACCACATGGTATCTTTATGTATTTTTTTGAAGGTTGCACATCTTTTATTTGTTTGAAACAGCTTATACAACGTGCTTCTCGTTGATCAAAAACACATCTTGGCATTAAATACACATAAGCTAATTGCAAATAATGGAAATTATTTGGTTTCTAGCACAAAACTTAACAGTAGTGAGCAACTACTTTATTTTTTATTTAAGCATATTAAGTACTGTAGGAAAAAAAACTGTACTCATTAATGCAAAATGAATTTAATTAATATATAAAGTATTCCTCATTTACTCGGCTAATATATAAATAATATAAATCATGTATATAACATTTTAATCGATAACAATTTGTAAATCTGTGGCTTATATCCAAAAGTTTAATGTCACTAAAATAATGATGAAATTTTGCTTTTATTTTGTCGAGCAAGATGTTCTGGAAAAGACAGAAAAGTAAAATTCGAAATTTTGGAAAGACAGTCTTCAATTAGGCTGACGAAAAAACCCGAAAAACTTCCAACTTATGACAAAAATTTCATTAGAAACACTTTATTTTATCTCCAGAATAAATGAATATATTAGTTAATTTTTTGAAGCTAATGATATAAATGAATTTCGACAAATTGATTTTACTCGTCAATATCTTATAAATTTAACTAATATTATATCGATCTTAACAATTTTTATTTTCTGACATTAAACAAAAAAAACTAGATTTTAATTTTTTTATAACTTTTGGTGATAATAAAATCTCCAGAGTTCATTAGTTTTATTAATAGCTGGAATCTAAATTAAAAAATATTGTCGAGTAGAAAACAAGTGAAAAAACTTGATTATGTAATATAAATGTTTAGATTAGTGTGATACGATATAAAAAATAAAATAAAATATTAATTAAATATTCATTAATAATTAAATTAAATATTCCCATTTAACTTTTATAATCATATTAAAAATCACCTTAAGTATAATATATTATAAAATAAATGTTCTTACATTAGTCAAAAATTAAAAAATAATACTATTTTTAATTTTTATATCTATGCTAAAAGTCCCCTCTAAAAGTTAGTGCTGTGCTAGAATAGGTGGGAAACCTAAAAAATCCTAGAATATTTGAATCAAATGCTGGTTATTTTACATCGAGATACCACGTGTTTCCGACTAAGTTAGGTAGGTAAATAAAATTCAACTAAAACTTTATTATACATTTTTTATTAAGAAATAGTCAGTAAACAAAATTAATGAGTGAAAATGTATTCCTCTGTCAGAAAAATTATATTTTATTTGTTTATATGATATTATAAATTAGTTNAATATAGTTTTAATTTTACTTAATTAATTAGCCACAAGTGATCAATTTTTATTATTTAATGATAAACTTTTGGTTTAACTCTGTAAATTTTTTTTATGTTACTCAACATAAATCTGTCTATGTACTACTACAATTATCATTTCTACTGAAACAATTTTGCTCAAATAGAACTTCCAAAAAATCTGTCTTTTTTTTAAATCCTACACAAAATTTAGCAAACACAATGAAATTCGAGATAAAAAAAGAATAACTAGCCGAAGTTTCGATTTCTAGGAGTTATCATGTATTAAAACGAAAAACGTTACGGTTTTCGAAAAAATGTCCAATTTTTAAGTATTTTGCATAGCAAAGGCGGGACATCTACATTGTTCAAAACTAAATTACTTGTATACTATGATTAATAGGCGTATAAAATAGACAACCGTGTAATTTCTGGTGAGTATTTTAATTCAGTGGTATATTAAAACACTAACCATATTTATTTTTTTCATTAGTTGTTTATAGCTAGTTCATTCAGAACAATTTATTACTTTCTTTGAATTGCCTTTGATTTTTAATACAGTGTACTACTAGTAATTAGAATTTATATACCTGTTTCAATTATTGACGCAGGTGTAATTATATTTAGTTCTTGGGTACGTGTAATCGTTTCATAACATACATGGCACGTTTTTATTTTCTCAGAACACGTTTCACAGCACCAGCCATGTCCACACGGAATAAAAAAATGAATATTATCGACCTGACCACTTAATTTTTTATTCTCGCAAAAAGTGCAAGAGCTTTGATCTACAGCAAAAAAAAGAAATAATTGTTAAATAAATTTAAAGTTAATACAGTTAAAATTTTAAACTTTAGATATATTTTAGTTTTAAGTTATTTTCTAATGCATTATTTTAAGCTTCTAAAACTCAATAAAAACTATAGCGGACACCTCCGAAACAGGTATATCTTGAACATGTATATTCTTTAATCGAATTTTATACTTACAGTATAATTTAATTCGACATTTAATAAATTAGTCATAAATTCTATTGTCTTATAACTGATTAATAATACAGGATAATAATTTATAAACTATAAAAATAATTTTTTTGTTTTTCATAAAAAAATTGTCTTATGTAATAAAAGTTTAGGACCTAAAGTAACAATTAATTATTTTTTTTACACATTTTATTGGATAGAAAAAAAATTCTACTTTCTTACATATATCTCCAGTTATATTTTTCAAAAAAGGATAATAACTATCCAAATTTATCAGCATTGAAATAATGTTATTATCATATCTCTGTGTAATTCGTAATTTATTTATAGACATATTATTCATCGATTCGACACGAGGTTCATTAACAAAGTGCACTTTATCTTTCATTAAATGCATACAGCCTAATAAATCATTTCTATAATTTTCGTTTTCTTCATTAAAATTGTATTCCTCAGATTTGTGGTTTTTGTAAACATCTAAAATACATTCATACGAATCGGAAGAAATCCAATCTCTATTAAAAATCGATATAAGTTTAGTAAGATTTCCACTAAATTGTTTTAATTGATTTGATATTGTAGCACCTTTTTTATTCATTTCTCTTGCAAACTCGCAAAACCGATAAATGTATGTAATTCCCATACTTTCCACAACGTTCAAAATGATTGCATAACCCAGAGCACAATGTTCATAATTTAAGCATTGATCAACCATATCCGACAAAGATCTGTCTATTATATCTATATTTTCATAAGGAACTTCTTTATGACTTACTAGACGACTCCAAGGTACTGGACAAACCATTTTATCCATTTTCAAACTCCTATAATAGGAATGATCCTTAAGCTTTAATCCCATAATATGTTTGTAGTCCTTTTTAAGTTCTTTCAAGTCCTTACATGTGATATTACTTAGATCGACATCACAAATCGATTGGTTGATTGTTTGAATAAAAAAAAATATTAATTTCAATTTATTGAGTAACATATTAATATCTTAAGAGATTATTCAATAATTTTTAAATTTCATAAATATTCATCAATTAAAATAAAATAGTTTAGAAATAAATTATTTACTAACTAAAAAATGTTCAATTACTGTAACAAGACTATTATAAGTAGTAATCACAATTGTGTTTTAAATACCAGATCAAGAATAAAATTTTAGTATATAGTTGAGTAATATTTGAACAATTGTAATTTAAAATACTTTTTTTTTAAATTATACGCAAGAAAATGTTTTCTTGATGTAACATCGTATATTATTCCCTAACACAAAACGCTTTATAGTAATTCAAAAATAGATAAATAAAAATATGGGTTTGCGTCGAGGTTGGTTTTACTATTTGTTGATTTAATAAGAATATTTCTCGGGGTATGAGTACAAAGTTTTGTAAGAAAAAAATAAGATAGAAAACTGGAGTGATCTTTTTTTATTAATATACCAATTATCGTGATTAAATACCATATTCATTAATATCAATAATTTCATGTGTACTGACGGTTATCAATGATAGGTGAGATTGAATAACCTTGTGTGTCTACCTAAAGTAATGTGGTGGCTATATATGATCCTTCTACTTAACTCCTGGCATAGATTCTTATCAATAAAAATCTAACTATGCCCACTAACTCAGTTAAACACGTTATTGATTTATTATTACACGTTATTTAATTTACCTAATATATTTTTATTATTAACAATCATTTCATTTTTCTTTATTCCTACTCAAACTATGCACTCATAAAACTTAAATTGTATAGATCTTTGGTGAAATTATTATTTTCCTGCGTTAATATTGCCTGTGAATATTCTAAAATAAATATACGCTCTTTCTTTTTATGAAATGCACAATATGGACGCAACCTATCACTTTTTGCACGTAATTTCAACTACTGACACATGAAAGATGAATTGAAACGAAACGTGTACTGTGAACGACATCTAACATGATAATTAACTTGGGGTTACTTTGATAACTACTATTTACATTTTTTTTTATGTATGTAATTTACATTTTATATCTTTTAATGATTCGTCAATACTAAAAAAAAATTACAGTAGGACATGTAAAAACTATGATGATTGGCTACTAAATGACGCATTACTCATAATTTGCAAATGGCGATCAACCAATATTGGGTATGTTATTCTGACGAAAAAGATAGAATAAATAGTAAAAAATGCATAACTAATGAATCTGAGTCTAATCAAGAACCTATAGTATAGTGAACAGAATAGTAATGTTAATTTAAATTTAGTCAATGCAAAATTTTAAAAACAAGGAGTGATATAAAATTTGTAGATTTTTGTTGTAAAAAATGTAATTAACAACAAAATTGATTATAGTTATTGACTAGTTCAATCAAAATATAGTATAAAGCTAGTTATCTAGAAAATGAGAATAATGTAAGTTAAAATAAAGTCAATCATCCAATTAGTAATGTGATTTAAATATTTTTTAAATGCTTAAATAATTATTGCTCCTATAATACGTTTTAGCTTTGATGCAAAGGTGAAAAGGTATTAATTTTACTATGATGCGTTTATTTTTTATTTATTTACCTTATTTTGTGTCTGTCACTACTTTTTCTTAGTTCTCACTAGACCGATTTTTCTCAACGATACGAAAAAGATCGTATCTAATTTAAGACATTATTATAAAAAATTTAACACTTAACCTGCTCACTGGGGGGGATTTGAAATAGCAATTTTTTTACAAAAACTAACTTTTTCAATTTAGTTTTTGAAAATGTATTGAAAATACTGCGTCCTTGACACATTTATCAAATTAAAGTTTATTTTATATACTATAAAATGAAAAAAAAAAAATTATCCTGACACCTTTTCTTTTATGTGCAAACGACTGCTGTAGTTTAAAAAATGCTATTTTTATGTTAAAATTTTCGATTTAAAATTTTAAACTTTAAATTGCTATAACTTTTTGAAAAATGCAAACATTTTAGCTTCGATGCGAAGCAGAAAAGGTATTGGTTTTACCAAGATGTGTTTTTTTTTTTTTTTTTTTTTTTTTTTGTGGTTGTTACCACTTTTTGTCAGCTCTCACCAAACCGATTTCTTTCAAAGATACGTCAAAAGATCACAAATCGTATCTAGTCGAAGACATTACTCTCAAAAATTGAAAAAAATTCCCTCGTTCCCCGTAAATGGGGGAAACCTCCGAAAAAATTACAAATTTAAAAATCGCTAATTTTCGCAATTTTTTCAATTTTTTTTACTAAAAACTGCCGTAACTTTTTTAAAAATAAACATATCAATATAATTCNCTAATTTTCGAAATTTTTTCAATTTTTTTTACTAAAAACTGCCGTAACTTTTTTAAAAATAAACATATCAATATAATTCTTTTTTTTATAGATGCATGATGTCATTACCTATCATTTGGTATATTTTATAAATCTGACTTTTTACCTGGCCACAGGGGGGGATTTAAAATGACAACTTTTTTACAAAAAATTAATTTTTTCAACTTAACTTTTGAAAGTGTTCCGGGAGGTCTGACACTTTTATATATATCTTAAATTAAAGCTAATGTAATATACTTTATAATGGTAAAAAAAAATTTCGGACTTTATTTTATCTTCATGGTGAAAACAGACATTAAACTTAATAAAAAAAATACGATTTTTGTAAAAAAATTCTTTTTTATATTTTTAACTTTATAATGCTATAACTTTTTTAAAGATGTATGGATCAATATAATTCTTTTTTTAGTAGATGCATGATGTCTTTACCTATCATTTGGTATATTTTTTTATAAATCTGACCCTTTACCTTGCCCACAGGGAGGTATTCATAATGACAACTTTTTCAACTTAAATTTTGAAAGTGTTCCGGAAAGTCTGACACTTTTCTATATATATTAAATTAAAGCTAATGTAATCTACTTTATTATGTAAAAAAAAAAATTCGAACTTTATTTTGTCTTCACGGTGAAAATGGCTACCGAATGCTATTATTGTGTGAAAATTCTCAATTTCAATTTTTACATTTTTAACTTTATAATGCTATAACTTATTGAAAAGTGTATTGATCAATATAATTTTTTTATGGGAAATACTATTTTTTAATAATCTATTTTTCATTCGACATACTTTATCTTAATCAGGATATTAATAAGGAACTAGCAGTTTATGAAGCTTTTGGAATAATCCATCAATTTTTTAAAATTAAACACTATCTAAAGATTTGCATCGAAGCGTTTTTTTTTTTGAAAGTGATTTTAATCACTGTCAGATATCATTATACTTGATACATGTAGACCACGTCACAACTGTGCCGCGACCCCCCTGTGCTGGGTTTTTTTTTTCTTAATACATTATTAATACATCTTTCATTTGACATACTTTATATTTAAATTGAACAATTTCCCCTTATACAGGAGGCGTTGAAAACTTGAAACATACGTATAAAAAGTAGAACTTTTTCAATTTAACTTTTAAAAATGTTCCGGAAGTACTGCATACTTTAAACATATGTCAAATTAAATCTTATCATGTACTAAAAAATTAAAAAAAAAAAAACTTGTCCCGACACCTTTTTTTCTATATACAAACGGCTGCTGTAGTTAAAAAATTCTATTTTTTGTTAAATTTCTGGGTTTTGTATTTTATTTTATTTAAAAAAATCTCACAATAGGAATATACTGATTTTCATGAATATTACATAATTTAATTGATATAGAATAAAGTTCATAAGTCATATGAAATTAAACTTATTAATTTTTTTTTACTTTTTAAAAGTCAAAAAAGTAATTTTGAAATTTGAATTAGCTTAAACTGCTAATTTTATCACGCAGCAAAAGGGACGAACGTTAGCCGTTTAACGATGTCAATTTGAAACTTGCAATTAAGCTAAAAAAGTTATGGCAACATATTCAATTTTTTTTACTATAAACTTTCACAAAACTTTATCAAAAATTGTTCATCAACATTAAAGGACCCAAAAAAATAGGTTAAAAATGAAATTTTGGACTGATTATTTTTAACATATTAAAAATCAGTCAGTAATTACGAGAAAAAATTTTTTTTTATTCTTGTAATTATTATTTTATATATAAATAGTAATAATATCAAAAATTAAAAGTGATAGAAAAAGTCTACTTTCAGATTTAAAAACGGCCCGAAAAATTGATTTAATAAAGTTTATTTTTGATTCTGATTAAAGTATTTTATAGTCCAGTGCATTCATTTATATAATAACCAGTTTTTATTGAAAAATATTGCATCAAGCCCTTTAAATTATTATACAAGTATAAGTGAAGCAATATATGACTACTTAATTATAAATAAGTAGACCTATATTTATAATTACTATTTATAAATAATTATTTTTAGAATTTCTCCGTATAAATTACAATATTTTATTTTTATATGGAAATACTTATTTTTTAATAATAAATAGTTAAATGTGTAAAAACTTAAATGTGATAGAAATAGTTTAATTGCATATTTTCAAAACATCGCGAAAAGATGATTTAGAAAAGTACATGTTCGTTTCTGATGAAAGTTCCTTGTAGTCCAGTGTATAAAACTTATAACTTCATTATAAGTAACAAAAATTTTTATAAAAGAGTGTTTCATCAAGCACTTTAAATTTTTATACGCATTATAGTAATATACAACTACTTTAATATTTTTATATTATCTCTGTAAAAATTACAATATTAAAATATATTGAAGATCAATTTCATACCAAAATTAATTACTAAAATTATTATTTGTTCATATATAATAATTATAAATCGAAAAACTTTAATTAATGATATATATAAAAGTGTCAGACTTTCCGGAAAACTTTCAAAAGTTAAGTTGAAAAAGTTCTACTTTCTACATGCATTTTTTAGATTTGAACCCCTCTCAAATATAAGGAAATAGTCCGATTTAAAAAAACAGTATGTTGAATAAAAGATGTATATAAATACTACTTCTCATGAAAAAATTGTATTGATCCATACATTTTTTAAATAGTAATAGCATAATAGAATTAAAAATGTAAAATACAAAATCGAAAATTTTCACACAAAAATAGCATTTGGTAGCTATTTTCACCGTGAAGATAAAATAAAGTCCGAATTTTTTTTTTTTTCATG